AGTATAGGTTGTGACCTATTCATTAAATAACCTCCTAACGCTAGCTATATTGGTGTGTGTGCATATATCTGCATGTACTGTGTGTGTGCCTGTGTAGGTAGCGAAGGTTATAGAATAATATCACATTTCAGAGGAACGATACTGAGATATCGAAAAAGAGAAATAATGAGGGGGAAATGGGAAAAAATCTCAAAAACCCTATAACTGCAGGATCATAGGACAGAGACAGGGGAAAGTTCATGAGGATTGACCCAGAGCCTCACTCGTATGTGGAAATCTTTTCACCTTTGTACAGCCATCAGATATTTTTTTTCACTCAGCTCATTATGTACACAAAAAGGAACATGGGACAAAAAGGGCAAGATTATTGATTCTGGAATATGTGCAAGATGGAAGAGACAACATCACTCTGAAATCTTCGAGCGTTTCTAATCTGAAGTTTGCATGCGCATCCAGCAAAACGGTTGTGAATTTTCAAAAATGTTTTGCACCTTTTTAGACAATCAAACCAGAACATGCACAAAAAAACCCCTTAGTGCAGTTTTCACAAGTGCGTTACATGTTCTTGCGCTCATACAGTGTCACACTAACAACAAAGGCAAAGCAATTTACATTTAATAACAGTACATTAGTAAAGAAGAACCTACAAGAACAATTCACACAGCGCAATAATAACAGTTATGCCATTTGGTCTAAAAGCATTAAACATGGCATTGGGAAATAAATACTTTACCATCCACCTTGCAAATAATCATTCAAACACTTTCTACAGTCTTCACTAATAATTATGCCACACATAAGCACTAATGTCCTGGAACCATATCTAACAGTTAATGTTCTAACTAGCTGAAGAAGAAACACACAATGTTCAAACTGCTGAAGCACAATATTCAACTGTTTCATTAACCAACTTCATTGGCAAAAAAGCAAGCTATCAAAAAAGAGTGCATATTAAGACACGGTGCACATAAATAAAAATAAATCCCTTATACCTTTGCAAAGTACATAGAGTAAATTGAGGTCATAGGTCAGTGACTGCACAGACATGAACATATCCACAATGACTATGGACTTTGGGTGGACAAATGAATGTGAGGATGCATGTATCTAGAACAGTGGGTTCTCCTGTGTGGGTGTTTGTGTTTGATAAGTGAACGGGTGACTGTGAATGCGTGAGAGAGCAAGATAGGCAGAAAGACAAAATTTGAATAACTAGTTGTGTGTGTGTGTGTGTGTGTGCGTGTGTGCGTGATGACGTTTGTCTGGTCACAGGGTCAGACTGATATAGGGCTTAAAGGCAGACCGTATGTGCAGACTCAGGTGGTACAGTCGGCTTCAGTCTTGCTGCTCTTTGAGTTTCATCTCATCAGGATCCATACTACCACAAGGTAAGAAAGCAGTATTAATCAGTTGGACAATTTGAGAGAACCTGCAGTTGCCAAACTGGTGGTTAATGGGGTACACACTCCCTTTGCAATTTCGCAAAGTCTTAAATGTCTACTTATGACTTTCATTTCTTTCTTTCTTTGTTTTTCCAGATGAAATTGGCATTAGCTCTCATTGTTGCACTCCAGGGTAAGAAATGTGCATGTGAACAAATATATTAACATGTCATCTACAAAAAATGTGGGATAACCTTCTTTATTAGCATACATATGAAAGCAAAAGAAAACCAGCTTTGAAAGAGAATAAGAAAGATTACCAACAGGGAGAAACTGAAACGTTTAATGCAACACTTGTTCCATACACAGCACTGTTTTGGCGTGCATTCACAAAATTCTGCAGATCTTAGAGAGTTGCTAAGATATAAATTATGCCAAACAGTGCAAGTCAAAATGCAACACAAAATGCAGTATATTTACACACATGCATGAATTGTACACATATAAACTTCTAATATCATGTTGTCTGATCAGCTCTGAATGGCCTTTCATCCACTCTTTTCTGCCCCTTAGTGTCGGTGTGCCTGTGTCATCTGCCAACGCCAGATAAGGAGCTTGTGGAAAAGTATGAGGGTTTAAAGGCTATTTTTCTCAAGAGGCTTGCTAATGCCTATGAGACTGCCCATACCACCATTGAGAAACTGGCTGAGGGCACAATCACAGGCGAGAAGGTCAAGGAAATCGCACAGCATGCAAAAGAAAACGAGAGGATTCAAGTTATTGCTAAGCTGGCCGCGTGAGTATCTGAGACAATGCTTTTAGGCCATATCACAGTAGCCCAATGTTCGGTAACAAACACCAGCAGCCCTAAGCACTGCTCTAGTGTGCAATATAGGATATTGTTGGGTCTCTAAAATGCTCTTTCCAGATTCTGTGGCTCATTTTACCTGTTGGTTCTATTTCCAAACATTCTAATGCAAATCATTACAGAATTATTTTAGATATTTTTTCAGTGTGTCCTTGTCCTTTGATCAGAAATGTCATATAGGCACAAATGTAATCAATTTGGAAAAAACACTGAACATTACTCCAATATGTTTTATGTTTAATAATGTTTTAAACAGTGCACCCAGGTGAACAAGCTGCTTTTTTTTTTGTTTGTGTTTGTGTGTGTGCGGTAAATTCAGTGCTGTGGGTGAGGAGCTGCATCCTGCTCTAGAGAAGGCACGTTTGGCTGCTCTTGGCGTGTATGGAGAATACCTGCGTCCCTACATTGGCATTTACCTCGACACTGCCATCAACAACATCAAACCTGTGCTGGACACATGGCTGCCTGCTGAAAAACATTAAAATCAAGGCCATGTGACCTCCAACCACCTTCCCTATGCCTCTGACTGTGCTCCCTGAGATGCTTTAGCTTTAGCTATTCATTTCTCAATTTCACAGAAATCAGATATGCAATCGTTCCACCGCCATAACAGGGATATCATTACAGTAGAAGAAATAACAATGTGATAGGTAATCATGTGCAGGTGTAGATCATAGGCTTGTACTGTACATAACTGTATATTATGATGCTCTCCTGTACATGCATAAAATGTCAACATTTGTGCAGCATTAATAAAGAATAAAAACAAGAATATGACTGTCTGAGTATGACAATATGAATGTTTTGAGGATTGAATCGACTGAAATACAATCGTCAATATGTCGAAGTTTAGCTCAGGACCGATTTAGCAATTTAGCTCAGGCAATTTAGCTCAGGACTGAGACCATGCAGAGATACATGTGTGATCTTGATCTTGCATTGAAGCATTAATTTTATAGTGATGACTCTTGCACTGTGTGAATGTGTATATAAACAATGTATTTTACAAATAGGAAAAAAAAACTGCAGTTAAAAAAAAAAAAAGAAATAAAAAGTTATATAACTTGTAAAACGGTGTCCCTGATGGTCTAGCGGCTAAGGATCCTGCGCTCCCGCTGCCGCGGCCCAGATTTGATTCCCGGGAAGAGAACCAACCCAGCCACTGCCTGGATAAAATGGGAGGGGTGTGGCAGGAAGGGCATCTAGCATAAAACTTGTGCCAAATCAAACATGCAGACCAGTGATCTGCTGTGGTGACCCCTAACGGGAGCAGCCGAAAGAACAGCAACTCGTAAAAAGACATAATTTATTCGCTGTTTAAAGTAAACGTCTTCCATCCTGAAATCCATTAAAAATAGATTTAAAAATTTAAGTACTATGCTTATGCTGCAGTCATGATTTCCAACCCTGCCCTGCACATTTGAGTGTTTTCTATACTCTAATACATCTATGTTACCTCAATACGTTCCTGTTAGCTGATTAGTTGTATCAAATGGATTAGAGCAGGAAAAATAACAAAACGAGCAGGAAGTGGTCCTCTAGGGCAATGTTTGGAAAGCACTGACTTGTAATTTGTCACCAAACCTGAAAGCAAATTCACTGTAAAAAATAAATAAATAAATAAATAAAATAAAAAAATCAAGCCTCTCCAGCTTAAAATGTTCATGCGACCTGTTGTACTGAATTTTTTTAAGATGGCTTAACGAAAATTCAGTAAACAACTTATTTTAAGTTGTGGTGACGAACACATATTGCTGGATGAAACAGAAATGGAAAGCTGTGTCAGTTAAATGCTTTATATTCACCATATACAGCTAGCTGGTTCTATAAAACAATTTCGTGTTGTACTAGCTATTTTTGTTAGTTCACCTAACAATTAGACCATTATCAGAAAGCTGAGTGAGCTATAAATGAGCATGTAATTAATGCTACATGACTTATTCACTCTAACAATGTCAGAGTTGCAGTGGATAACATGTTCTTGAGAGAAAGCCCACTCAGACATGGGGAGAACATGTACACATACTCCACACACACAGCAACACGAGCTAAAGATTGAACCTGGACCTTAGAGCTGTGAGGCAGCAATGCTATGCCACTGTGCCACCACACATACTGAGAGATCAAACATATTATTCTGTTTGGGGAAAATTATTTCCATATTTAATGATGCAATAAACAGCGATCTCCCTTCCTTCCAAGCTTTATTGCGGCATGGTGGGATAGTGGATATTGCTGCCTCAGGTTCACAGTCCATGAGGTGATTGTCTATGAGGGGTTTCTGTGCATGTTCTCCCAAAAACCTGCCAATAGGTGGACTGGCTAAGATAAAGAGCCCCTAGGTGTGGATGAATGTTGTGTACATGGTGCCCTGTGATTGACTGGTGTCCCATAAAGAGTGTGTTCCTGCCTCACACCCAGTGTTCCCAGGATAGGCACCAGATCCACTGCTACTCTAACATGGATAAAGCAGTTACTGGAACTAAGTGAGTTATCTATCATTCATTATATGCTATGTAATTTGCTTTTAATTGGCACAGTATAAAACATATATCCAGGTCAGCTTTCTGATGATGGTGTAATAGTTGTTGTTGTTGTTCTTTCGGCTGTTCCTGTCAGGGGCCACTACCGCCGATCACTGGTCCGCATATTTGATTTGGCACAGCGTTTACGCCCTTCTTGATGCAACCCTTCCCAATTATGTCCAGGCTTGGGACCGGCACTGGGAGTGCACTGTCGTATGGGGTTGGTTCCCTGGCCAGGAATCGAACCCGGGCTGCGGGGGTGAAAGCACCATTGCTTAACCACTAAGTCCTCCAGGGACCGATTATGGTGTAAGAGTAAAGTGTACTAAACAAAAACAGCTAATACAACACACATTATGTAACTGAACCAACTAGCTGCATAGGGTGAACATAAAACATTTAATCGACACAGCTTTCTATTTCTTTTACATTCAGGGTTGCTGTCACTACAACATGAAACAAGCAGTAACTGAAACTGTTAGGTGCGATGTGCCACTAGAAAATGTTAAGTTGGAGAGGCTTAACATTTTTTTACAGTTAAGTTTAATCTAATGTTAAATATACACAAAAAAGGTGTTAGATAAAGTGCTGAAAATATTACCTGTGGATTTCCTTATAAATATACAGTGAATATTCCTTAGTGTTAAACTGGGACAAAATATATTAAAAAATGTAATTTACATATGACATGCTTTGAGTTTACACTAAAGAATACTTATTAGTAGTACATTCATATACTTATTAATGATAGTACATTACTTAAATGAACTACATACTGACTTGAAAGTAGGCTACACTAAGTTCACCTGACTTAATTCATTTTAAAATTTGGATGATTAAAAAAATTCGGTAAAAAATAAATCGAGCTAGTTTTTTTTCCTGCTCTCACACAAAAGCTACCAACTTGAGTGGGTGAAGCTGCTACATCTTTTCCTTGCTGTGACATTGCCAGGATTTATACATGCGAGCTCCTGGACACAGGCCAAATGGGAAGTCATAAACTGACTTTAAAACGAGTATATTTTAAAACCACTAAAAGTTCTACATTCTTTCATTTTTATATGACTTACTGTATACATATTCCAAGTTTTGTATTATAAGTTTTTGGGTGACATTTTACTCATTTCACCTATGCATAAATTCATTAAACTTGCACATTCACTTCATTTCAGATACAAAGTGTTGGGTCCGTTAGTTCCAGTGAAGACATTTTATACAACAGTTTTGAGAAGAACCACATATGGATGTGATGGTCAGGTGTTCACATACTTTTGGCCATATAGTGTATATTAGGCTCTATGTTCATAAGGGTGGAAGTATATTTTAATACCACTGTATTGCTAATTTGGTTGGGCTCTGGTCTTTTGTTATTTTTGTGGTCAGAGATGATACATTTGGGTGTATCCCGATATCCGCGTGGGTTTCCAACAACTACTCCAGTTTCCTCTCACCCAGTGGCATGAGTCTCTTGGTGCAATTGACACAAATATACCAGTGTACATCAAAATAATGACAAGATGTGTTTTGTAGATATTTGTATTTTAGTTTTACAGTTTCCAGGAAAACAGTGAATAGTTTTTTGATGACTCATCCTGTACTCGTCAAATTTACATCTAATAAAATGTTCTCTCGAACATGTGTCCAGTTCCTATAAAGAAGCGGAGAGCATTCCTCTACAGTAGCAGCTAACATCACGCATGATGTTCATGCAGCTTTGGTCATCCAGCTTCCGGCTTATAAATTCCCCTTCCAGACCATCCCTCTGGGTGTTAAAAAAAGATGATTTATGTTTATATGTGTTACTCAACTCATAAGATTCTGATCTATCGTCTCATGTTCATCTTTTGATCTCAAACCCAAATGTCTTCATAGTATAGCAAAAACAAAAGAATTGGCTTTGCTGTTCCAATACTTTCACAGGGGACTGTATGTGCTATATGTTTGTATGAAATATTGAGGCACAGTTGTGTGTGTGTGTGTGTGTGTGTGTGTGTGTGTGTGTGTGTGTGCGTGCACTGTAAAAAATTTCAAGCCTCTCCAACTTAAAATGTTCTAGTGACCCACTGTACCAAAAATGGTTAGTTGGATTTATTAAAATTCAGTGAACTGTTTATTTCAGTTTGTGGGGACAACTCTTTAGTGCTGGATGAAACAGAAATAAAAAGCTGTGTCAATTATTTTTTTTTTATAATCACCATATACGGCTAATGGTTTCAGTACTATAATTTGTGTTGTATTAGTTATTTTTGTTTCGTTCACCTAACAGTTAGTTCTACCATTACTTAGCTTAATAAATCTATCAACTGGCAGCGTTCATAGGTGGGGGTGGGGGTGGGGTGGGGTGGGGTGGGGGGGGGGGTGTTTGCACTCATGGTGGCCAAACAAATTTCAGTGGGGGCTGGTTCCACGCCAGTTCTATCACACTTCATTAACCAGAAAGTGCCAGTTCAGACATCCAACCTAAAGCTGTTATTCAGTAGCTATTATGAATGATTCGGTATCTACAGTGAAATAAAATGAGAGTGAATAATGTGCGTCTGGACCTTTGGACAATTCCTGAGAGTTTAAGAGGTTAACTTGTTTTTATAGGGAATAAAAGGATGTTATGCATTTATTATTCTAACAAGACTCATTCCGACAATTACTCCACCAGGTTAACGCCTGCACTGATGGTGAAGAAACTGTTCAAAATATTTCTGCCACACTGACATGCATTGATCTTATGGCTTAATTTCACATTTGCTCATGAACACTGCATTTCTGTGTGTTACAAATGAAAGATACATTGCTACAGCAAGTCCTATTTTTAATTTAACTAACATATGATGTCCCTACAGTGGATAGGTGTTTATCTTACATTAAAAAAAAATTTTAAACAATTTTTCCATATATAATAAAGTACAAAATTCAACTGAAAATGTAGTTGTTTGGTTTCAGGACTTGTTATTGATTACCAAATACGAGGATATTGGAACCATTTAACAATATCGAGAACAAGCAGCTAAGAAAATCCAAAGTCCATGGTGCGGAAGACAGCTAAAACATAGATTCAATTTACGTGAATGACACACACACACACACACACACAAAAATAGTGTGATAACCTTAAATAAACCTCAGATAAACAGGCTGACGTGTCTAAGATGAAGTAGACTTAGGACTGCAAACGTGTGCCAGACTATTTGCTCAATAAAAAGGTCCCGTGTGTACTTATGTACCTACAAAGGGCTAGTTAGGAGGAATATGAAAATATGAAAAAAGTTATTATCGTATATTAACATATTTCCTGAGGCAGTTGATTGGATTTGGATAATGACTGGATCATTAGTTTCCACCTGTCTACTTTATCAACGACCAATGATCAAAGCTGACAAAATAAGCAGCCTGAATTTGTACAATGACCGGCTGTAGCACAGATTTTGAGTCAATTATCTTAACAATAAGATAAATTTGATCTCATGTTCACACCTTAACCTTAGTTATTGACATCCCCCCCTTCTCTCTCTCACTCATAAAAAGAGAGAGTTGAGAGAATTGCACTTTGCTCTCTGGATAGTCAACGTATCTGTCCTCATATATATAAGATAGGCCAAGGTGCCTAACCTGCTAAACAACGTTACACACTTCCTACTGAGGAGAGACAGTGAGTACAGCCATCCTTATGCTCTACATTCAATTCTGGGAATCACACAGAAGCCAAAAAAAAAAAAAGGAAGAAAAGGAAGAAAAGTCAGCTTTTTCGATTTTAATGGTTTAGGATCTTAGAAAACGTGTAGATTCTTTTTTTTGTTGTGGCTGCAGCATTTGTTAACAATATAGCACATTACAAAACATAACGCATATAAAAATGTACGCGATTTAAATTTACTATTGGATTAATATTTATGCTGAAATAATAGATATTTTGCCAGGTCTTTCTCCTGTGCCTTATCTCATCTACCTCTAATGCCATTAGACGTTGTTAGAGCAATGAAAATGATTGATATGAGGATAACATCTACTTCTAGCACAGGTTCTTGAAATGTTAACTGAGACGGTCTCTAAACACAGTAAATAGCACTAAAAGCAGTGAACTGATAACGACATCCTGAACTGGCTTCATTTTCTCCTCAGATCCAACAGTCAGCATGAACAAGCTGGTCATTGTCACCGTGCTTCTCACAGTCCTCGCCTTGGGTATGTAATGATACACACATAGACATATACGTAAACAGAAACCTAATCGTTTATGAGTTCCATGGATCACATTTACATTGCACACATTATGAGAAGAAGCAAAAGAACGCTCCATGGAACAGTTATCATTTAAAGCTAGGAATGAAAACTTCTGGCCTTCATTAGCCATGAAATAAATGCAGTGATGTTATTGTAGGTGTGGAGAGCTTCCGTTTACCCAGAGAGGCTGAGGAGGAGGAAGCTGGTCCTGCTACCTTTCTGATTGACAAACTGAAGAGCTATTATGATTACAGCCTGAACTTTGCCAGTTCATACGTAGAGACTATCCAGGATCTCAAGCTGGATGAGAAAGCTAAGTGGGTGAACCTCTACCATGATCATACTACATGTCCCCCCCATCATCTGATCAATGCAACAGTTCTACAGCATAACTTACTACTATAATAGTCAGTAATTTCAGTGCATTTTGTGGTCTCTTTTTAGGAATCTGTATGAGGAGACAACAGGAGCCGTGCGCACCTATGCAGGCATCGTCCAGGATCAGCTTTACCACATGATCTACTCCTCGGAGAATGCTTAAGCCCCTTATCTCTTATAACTCCTTTCTCGAACTCTGGTCCTCAGTCATGTAAAGCTGGGGCCCCTTACCACAACCTAAAGCAGCTACAAGGAGCACAACACTCATCTTCCCCTGGCATAAAACTAAGATGTCTTCCTTCCTGGATGGCATCATACCACACCAATGCATACAGCACCTTAGCAAAGGTCACAGCATGGGCTAAATATGCTGTAAACTCTAAGCCTACTGAAAATGAGTACACAGTCTCAACAGTCGCGATTCGTTCTTTGCGTATTAGTAGCTCTCAGGTGCACTTCTGTGTAAAAAAAAAATTAATTCATCCAGGACCACAGATGGTAGAGGACCTGTAATAGCTTCTAGTCCTATGATGTAATGATGTAATGTCAAAAAATGCAACATAATAAATCATGCAATAAAACCAAACCTTTGTAGAAAATCCAACAGAAGAGTCAGTTTTATCACTGAACATATTTAACATTATGAATTGCTTTAAAGGTTTGATATAAAAGAATGTAAAGGGAAAAAAAGGCTAAAAATATAAA